CTCCGCATACAAGGTTTTTTTTCGACACCTTAACTCCGCATATGAAGTTTTGTTTAAACACCCTAACTCCGCATAAAAGATTTTTTTTAACACTGTAATTCCGCACATAATTTTTTATAATGTTTAAATACAAAATACAATACATGTTATTAAAGTTAAATAAAAATAATATTAGACTGCAGATAATACTAGGTAATTATAAAATATAAAATTAATAATAATTAATGCATACAAAAAAAATCGCCATTGTCGGTATAAAATGTATCTAACAAAAATTATAATAATTAATGCATACAACAAAAAATCGTTAAAATTATAATGTAAAAAAATATAATATTATAATGTTAAAATAAATTAAAATAAAATATTATTAAACGAAGCCAAACTTTTTACAAAACTATATCTATGCGTTTGTATTTTCGACCATGCGGAGTTACGGATTCACAAAATATTTTTATTCATGCGGAGTTGCGGTGCGTCCATTATTATTTTCTCTCATTCTAATCATCATAATAATATGAGATGCAAAATGTAAATTATATCGCATTATAGTTAGAAAATTGCAATCCAGAGAAAGTGATATTTAGGTAAATTAAAATAGAACAAGAGTCCTTGGTTTCACAAAGGTGAAATGACTATTGGATACATAGGCGTGCGCAGACATTTGGTTCCGGGGGTGCATAGTATAAATTAGGGCCCACAATAATTTTGAAAGCCATTATAGGTACAGCAAAATTTATATATATATATATAAAATGCACTAAAAATAATATTTTTTTATTTTATACATTGTAATAAAATAAATATTACATCAAAATATTCTATAAAAATCCGATAATATTATCAGCGAACTGAGTAAACNAATAATTTTGAAAGCCATTATAGGTACAGCAAAATTTATATATATATATATATATATATATATATATGAAATGCACTAAAAATAATTTATTTTTATTTTATACATTGTAATAAAATAAATATTCTATGAAATTCGACAATATTATCATCGAACTGAGTAAACCATTTATAGCTTATTAATAACTATAAAAAAAATGTTATATATAATGTTAAAGAACACATGATTCTGTTCGAAGGGAATTCTTATTTTTCGTAAAAATAAAAGCATATTAATACTGTTTTATAATACTTGAAAATGTCAAGGTTTAAAATGTACACTTAAATAATAATAATTATTATTATAGGGCCCTTGCTGTTTTGTGTGAAAAGTCCGAGGGCGCCCAGGCACCCTCGGCACCCCCTGTGCGCACGCCTATGATTGGATATCCTACGTGACCTAACTTAGAAGAAGTAGAAAATTCAACCAAAATACTAGACAGTGAGATGTATCAATAGGATGACTACAGATCAATGTAGCAGTATTTAGCAAAAACGATACAATAAAGAATTCAGAATTGTATGATTTATAGTCGATGTGGCGGTTGTAATCAGTTTTATTAAAAGGACAAAGACTTCAATGGTTTGATGAGAAAGAGCGATTGTGATACCATCAAGTCAGTGCTAGAAAGAAAACATCAAGCAAGATATCTCATAGAAGACCTTGGAAAATATGATATTTATTCGAGGAAAGTTTGTAAGGCACGCGGGAGTATACAAATAGAAAGAAATGTTTCACTAGGAGGGATATAATATGATGTATAATGTTGTGTTTGTGGCATGAGCTCACGAAGAGTTAAGAGAACCTGTAACTATGCAATAGTAATACTATATTCAATATCTAATTATATAGTTGTATTATAAATTTAAATGATTTATTAACTATACCTATCTGTCTGAGGTGAAGTTTTATAGATAAGATTATAAATTAAATGTCTAGTTTTAAAATATATTATAAATTATAATATAAAACATAATAATAAAATTATCATAACACAATTTCTGTCTGAGACGTTTCTCTTTTATTCCATTTCGATACCATTAAGTTTTTTTTTCGAACAATATTTTAATTTCTACCTGGAACATATTTATGTTGAGCAATTTCACCGCTGACATTTTTCTCAGGTGTTTGGCTTTTTTGAGGACTACCCGATAAAAAAAAATATATCTGTTGACTACAGACATAAGTGTTATTATATCTATTACATATATTATAGTACGTAACATGGACACCTAACAGGCGGTCGATTAGACATAAATACAAAAATGACGGCATCAACAGTGACGTATTTGGGGGGGGGGGAGGCTTGGGCCTCAAGTGGTAAATTTTTAGGGGCGCTAAATTTGGAGAGCATTTTGATATACCTAGTTCGGGACCTAGGTCATTTGGATGATAAAAAATAGTAATGATACTCAGATATTAAAAATATCATGTTTTTTCTTACAAATACATCTATTACTAAAGAAATTTAGGTTGGAAGAGGGCGTTTTTGTTTTCTTACCTGGGGTGCAAAATTCCTAAATATGTCTCTCGGCATCTAAGTAACTATAACTATATATTATAAACTATAATAAAGTAATAATATATTGTTTATACAAATTTAAACATATAGATAAACTCACTTTTGACATCAAAATATATGATTACACAATATGATATAATTAATACGAAATTAATAGCTAATTCAGAAAAATAATAGTGTTAAAAATTTAAAATATCAATGTTTGTATAAACCTAACTACATATACTTACTAGTTACTACAAACGAAACTTTATTTTACACATATTTTGTGCATTATAAATTAATAATATAAGCAAAGATAATCCCGGTCATACTAGATAGGGGTTTCTAACTTCTTTTCTTAAAAATATTTCAACCGATATATTTTTAATTTTGGTTATAAGTATAAAAGGCCTCAAAGAAAAATGTAACAATCTATATCTAAATATAGTGTGTAGTGTGCGCAAAACAAAAATTGATCAATTGATTGTTCAATCTTCATAATTATTACTATTTGAAAAATTATTCTTTTCTTTCTCTAAACATATTTTTCAATTATTATCAATGGAGGGCGGCCTTTCACCTGTGTGTTTGACACACACAGCATACACGATAAAAATTGAAATTCCAAAGTATGTTTTACAACTAAGGGCCGTTCTTACAATGTCCGGTTAAGTGTCGGTTAAGACTAACCGRTAGAATTCTATCGGTTAACTCATGATAAATTCTTCCGGTTAGTGTTATCAGGCACTAACCGAGCATTGTAAGAATGGCCCTAAGAAAAATTAATTTTACAATTAGGTAGTTAATTCTTAACGTTTAAAAAACAAAATTTTTGGTAGATACGCCCAAAAACAACATGGCTAATCAGAATACTGCCATTATTTTTCAACTCATAAATCATATTAATTTTTAAAAACATATTCATATTTAGGTGGACACTTGAAATACAGCTCAGTACTAAAATATGTGTATTGCATACACTAATTTGTTATATCGCGATTCGCAATTACAACTACTTGGAGAATTACAATTTCTAAATACTCAAAAGTTGTTATTGATAAGGCATAAATTATCTTAAATAATTATCCATCCTATTTCCATTAATGTAGGTATACATCAAGTTATAATTAAAATAATAATTTTATTTACTTGAAAATATAATATTGATTAGTGTAAAGTGGTAGTAGAAGACTATTCAAGATCGATACACAATTTTTATGATTCACAATATGTCCATATTATAAGATAAACATTTTAACCAGAAAAACAAACATATATAAGAATCCAGAATGGCAGAATCTATATTATCAGTCAGGCATAACCTCTTTTATTATTAATAAACAGCTAGAATTGTTTGGGTATGTATGGACTATGGAGAGAACTTTGTAATAGCAGCGACACTACTGAATCAAACATTAAGAAGACGTGATACTGATATTTACTGTCTCTGTCTTACAAGAACATAACAAAACAAATTGAACTCTCAACAGATCGAGTATAGGTCTATTAGTTTGAAAATTAGAGTGAGTTTACCTCTTATAACGTTTTAAAGTATCATTATCTAGATAATGTCATAGACTTGTTGGTATGTTTTAATTTAAAGGGGAGTTATGAGTATTTTAAGATGTATAAACAATTAAGAATTTTAAAATACTTATAACTCGCTTTAAAATTGAAACATAATAAAAAAACCTTAAGACATTGCCTAGATAATAATCTTACCTAAAAATTTTTAAGAGTACAATTTGCTCTAATTTTTAAACTAAAGAGCTATATCTGATCTGCTGAATGTATTAATTTGGTATGATGCACACTTGTATGACAGACAACAAAGTAAAGGTCAGTGTAACATCACCTTCAGATAAATAAAACTAATATTTTTACTAAGAAAATATTGCCTAATATAATAACAAATTTTCAAATTCCATGATTATTTGCTGAATACCAACCAATGGGATAATATTTTGTTTTAAAATCTATATAATTTTTAAGTGTTTTAACAAAAAAATAAATATATTTTATGATACAAGTGACTAATAATAATATTTTGACTAGTTTAAAGCATATTATATAAAACATACTATATTATTATTATTATTATTCAATTTGTTTCAAAAAAGAACAATAAGAATAACTGAGGTAATAGATAATAATAAAAATAAAAAAATAAAAAAAATAGATAGATACAACAGAGCGTAGAAGCCTCCCAGTGGAGGTACCATAAAAACTCAATTATTTTAAAGAAATAATGTCAAATATAATATACCAAATTAAATAAAGGTAATCTTATTTAAAGTATCTACATACTTATGTATTTTCATAAATAATAATTTAAAATTTAAAATATTATAAGTATATTTCACTATTTTAGTAACCTAAACTTTTAATTTTTTAAATACTTTTAAATTGTGTTCTAAATTTGTATGATGATACAACATATAATTATTTAAAGTGTTTAAGTGTTACACAATTTGCATCCATGACATATTCTATAATATAAATTCTTCATTAAAAAAAATTAATAATAAAAAATGATATTTTTTTCATTTTTTAGAAATTTAATAAAAAATATGCTTATAAGTAAATGTAAAAAAAAATAGTAAAAGAATATTTGTTATTTGGTGTTAGTACATTTATATAAAATATTATTTTTAGGCCTAATTTACTTTGGAATAAAGTACATTTGTCTCAAAGTTTTACAAATAACAAAAAATATCAGTAGTCTTAACATGATGTTAGTCATAACTTATATACGATAAAATAAACAATCAATAAATATAAATAAATTAAACAATAAAATATGACATAATAACACATACAAGTTTTGAATATAAAATATAGGTTTAATAATGTATAAGCTGACTAAATTATAGTTTGTTGTGTATCTCAAACAAATAACAATCCACTGGACGGAAACAATATTGCACTAATAGATATTTGGTAAATTACTAAGCTTAAATAAAGAATTAATTTAAATATAAAAGAGATAATATTTCATAAAGGTTTATTGTAATATAATAATTTCTAGATAATGTKATTTTGTATGCACACAATTTTCACATATTTTTTAGGTATGTTTAGTACATATGATATAATAATAATAACTGCATAGGTAACTAAAAATTTCTAAGACTGATTTTCACAGTAAAAAAATAACAAATCGTTAAACAATAAATCAACATGAAAAAAGATTTAATATCTTTAAAAATTTCTATTTTCCAGAATTCATTTTGAATGCAACTACTGTAGCATGATCTAACTTACCCGGCACACCAAACATTTTTCTAATAATTTCCTTTCTTTTTTGTCTGACTTCTCCTTGAGCTAAAGGTTTTCCATTAGCGTCTGCATATATTTCCATATCTTCTAATATATGACGTTTAGCGGCAGTTAATCGGGTTACAAAATCCAATAACAATGTTACTAAGTCTTTAGCTGTATCTACTGCTGGTCCTTTCCCAGACACTCCATTACGAATCAAATCTTCTGTTCTTAAAAGAGAAAGCTTGTGTCTTTGATATGCTTCAACGCTGGGAAGTCCTAAAAAATGTTTTTTAGATGTAAAAGTACCATTTTGGAAATAAAGTCATAAAAATATTATCATACCAGTAAAGTGGCCAACCACAGGATCTAAGTTATCTGATACGCCATCAGAAGTAATAAAAACTATATCATCTATATCAATTTGTGTTATGGACAAAGTCAAGTTTGACAGTTCTGGATTATGTCCATCAACAGGACCTAAAGCTCCCATGACATCTCTCATGTCTCTCATTCTGTGAACATCATGTGAGCCTTGAGTAAGTTCCCTTACACCATACTTGGAACTATACACATAACCCAAACTGTCACCAACATTACAACAACAAGCTATATAATGATTATCAACAGTAGAAGGAAGTACTACAATTGCTGTAAGTGTAGTCAAAGTTCCTTCTTCTTGTAGTATCATATTATGGGCAGCATGGAAGGATCTCAGTAAAGTCATAAGAACATCCTGCAATTATAAAAAAAAACATCTTTATGTGATGACAGCTGACTTATAAAAAGACATTTTAGCCAGAGAACCATAGGATCAAAATCTATTTAAGATAATACTACAACATTTTGATAAGATGTGGTCAAAAATATAGTTAAAAGTTTTAAATTTTATTTTGCTGCATTAAATTAATAGTTTAAAAGTAAAAAATTTTAGATGAATTTTATTAAAAAATTGACGAAATGTTTGGCGTTTGCGTTTACTTTATATAATGGCACAATAATCATGTATTTCATGTTTAATTTATTTTATATTCTTTCATCAAAAAAATATTAATCTTCTCTGTATATTTGAAATAATGTGCATTGTTTATAAAAATAAATACAATAGAATAAAAAATAACTGTAAAATAAATAATATTTATAGGGTCAAATTTTAATTTTTTTCTATTTTAAAAACCGTATACACTATAAATGATATATTTAATTTTTACTGTAGTGTTTTTAGGCGATTCTTTGTCTGATGTAAATATAGTTTTGTTCAAATAGTCAACACAACCATGGACAGCAGATCTAGCAGCAGTCCTAGATTTGACACCCCAATTAACGCCATCTGCCAACACCATTATTGCAGAATTCGCTCTGGTTACAATAGCAAAACAATCAGCAATCGGATCACCCGTATGACGATGTGTTATGGGATGCACTTCATATAAAGAACAACTGGCACCATATGCATTAGTGTGTGGGACATTCCAATTCTCAACACCAGCAACCAATGGATGTCCTAGAAATACTTGATATGATTAATATTTAATAACCAAATTTAAATGCATATTTTGAAGAAAGCAGAAACTCACTAAGCTTTTTTAAAATATTTTGTTTAGATTCTACATTCGAAGTTTCATCAGTTGAATCATTAGTTGATACACCGACTTTTTTTTCCCCATTGTCTAAAATTGAAACATTATCATTTAATTTGGTAATTTAGAGTAAATATGTTAACAGCATAAATTGTACAAAATACTTACGACTATCGTCTTCAAGATTATCGATAAAATTAATTTCTGGATCACTTGCTGACAAATGTTTTTCTGTTTGATTAACAGCAATAAGCCCACCGTGTGGTCCAGTCAATGATGATATAACTTCGTAACCTTTAATAGCACCTAGTTGTTGGGATGGCACTTCCTGCGGAGTTCTTCCGTGCAAAATAACTGGCTCATATTTTTTCACTTCATGACTAAAATCATTAATAGGTATATTAAACAAAATATTAAGTTTAAATCAATAATGGGTTAATACTGTTTGAAGTTTAAATCCATTCAGAATAATCATATTTCCCTGAACCTTGTTACTAATTTCTGGCTAAATAAAATATGTCGAAACACTTATCCATATTAATGGGGAATTCACATTAATAATGACAAATCTGGACAAGTTGCTTTCACTTTAAAAATATCTCTTCAACAGTGTCATTAACTAGATAATTATGAATAACATTCCTATATCACTGTCTGACATGAAGTTAAATATTTACGTATATTATTTGATAAATTACAACTTAGGAGAAGCCTCCTCATATTAAGGGGAAAATAAAGCCAGTTGTACAATTATACCCTTCCATCCTCTTCTAAATGTCATTATACCACTACATAAAATACTTCTCAAAATAATTCAAATACATAAGAAAATCATAAGGCTTGAACAGAATTGCAATCTTTGGTCCTGCAAAACCTTCCAATATCAGTAAAATTCAGTCATTCCATTCTGTTTCAATGAAGATATTTTTATCTATAAAAATTTCTATTCGTCGTCATTTGTCAGGCTGTTATTAAAAACTTAAATAATAGTCATCGTGCTAGAAATGAAAATAATAATAAAAAAAAAATAAGATAAAATCACTCACCCAGTAAGATATTTTTTAATGAAACGATTCGAAGCGTTCTCGTCATTCCTGGACTCTGATGGCGCTGAAAATTGCCTAAAGAACCCAGAGAATTTCTGTCTAAAAGACGGCATATTTTCTTATTATCGTCGCTATAGATACAATTATTTCATGGTTGTACGAAATTCTTTTCGTTAAACATTCTTATCTTATTATTAATTCTTTCTGTGAACACGTTCTGAATAAATAATCACAGGAAGTAATAAGAACGTATCGTATAATAAATAATAATATTAGCGATGACTAAATATTTTATATTATGAATTATTATGATGTTAATAATATTAATATACTCGAATCGAGTGGCAATTGGCAAAATAATAAATATAGATTTAACTTATCGATAGGGATATTAATATCAACGCATTCTATGCTGAATGCTGATTATAGCCTATAGGTACTAGACTGAATGATGAATCGTCGTAACTGATATGAGTAGGGGTGCTCAAAGTAGGTCATTTTTGAATTCTGTCGGTGTTGATAGTTGATATTCATGATAATAATATAGTTCCCATAGCATTTCCTGTTCGGTATTTTAGTAGGTAAATTGACAGTGTCTCGAACTAGCCAGTAGCCGACCATTGTCCATTGCCAAACTGTGAAATGCACACAAGGTAGTTGACCAGTAGCACACATGCATACTGCGTTAGTGCAAGTGCAACTGCATCGTGTCGTATTGCACTGTAAACAATAAACATTTTAAAATCGGCCACCTAACTTGTAAATACAGAACTAAAATGTATGATACCTATTGGCTAAGTTCCAAGTACTTAACGATTACCTTGCCAGGTATGATAATTATGCCAATTATGGTAAAATTCATGCATTACACGAAAATCTACGGAATGTGACATTCCCATTATCCCGTTTTCCGATAGGCGTACCGATCACATGAAATATTTACACAACAGTGGAAAAATAATTTAAAACGTCTTAATTTGTCGACACGCGACAGAGTTGTAAAGTGCCGCAAGTCCGTAATTCAAAAAATTAAAAATCCTAAAAACTTACTGTCTAAACCTAATACACCTAGGTAATAACTTATACTTTGTGTTTATTTTTATGAAAATTTGTACCCGATTGTCCCGATTTAAACACAGAACTCATAAACAATAACATAGTGTGCGTATTTTTGTTTTATTCAACGAAGTTGTTATGGATAAATCAAAATTATTTTCTTTTTCCTGTACAAATGTACTAAAACTGTCGGTGGTAACAAGTGGTTAATTATAGCATYAAAGCAAAGCACCTACCCATATTTAATAAAAAATTCAATTTCGAAATCATCAAACAGCTTGTTATAGATTAAAATAGTCATACCATACTATATTATTTATTGTATTGGCATGTTTAAATTATTTTATTGGAATGAGAATCAACAAGTGACTGACAGATGTTGTTTAAAGTTTAAACACATTTGTTTTTTTTAAACATTTATTTAGAATATATTATTATATAATCGGAATACGATTAAACAATTAATAATAATCATATTTAAATACAACACGTCATGATACTTAATTGTAGACAGATAAAAGAAGGAGCAGTGATACTTTTTAGAGAAGAATTATTATTAATGGTTTAATTTAAATAGGTATATTATATAATAATGTATTTTTTTTGTATTAATAAAATTTAAGATTTTTGCACTAGCAGCATTAAAATATAATATATGTACATTATTTTAATGGTATAATTAGGACTTGGATTTATATGCATTTATATAACCAAAGCGTGTATTTATTCAAAAAGTATTATCAGAAAAAAAAATTAATACTGTAATAAAATGTAATAAAAATAATGATCAATATCTTAATTGAAATTTATAATAACACTCATCATTTTTAAATTTTCAAATTCAAAGGATCACCAATTCTATCGTAAAATACCTTTAAACTTATGGCGTTACCTATAGATTTTATATAACTCGTAGATAATGAACAGTGAACACAGATGATGCCCACATAACATGTAATACAGTCTACTGCTTACCCCAGTTTGATAAAATTTGTTAATTTCAAATCACTAAAATAAGATATGTGATATAGGCTTTTAATCATTCTAAACTCTGAAGAAAGCAAGTTAAAACAGTAAAATTGTCTAAATACACAAGAAAAAATTGAATAATTGTGAAATCTGTATAATCAAAAATAGCTAATTTTATCAAAAATCTTGTAAAATGAATTTAAAACTTTTTAAAATGGCTTATCATTCCATTGGAATGCTTTAGTTCTATATAATTTTCTTGAAAAATGAAAATAAATATTTTTGTAAATAATTTATGTGAGTTGTGATTTTTGGTAATGTATTATATTTAATTTTGAAAAATAAACAAAAAATAGTGTAACAAAGTATATGGATGTACAGGGCCAGCTTGGCCCAATGAGTTACTGAGTAAAACTCGGTGGGTCGTATAAGTCATGGCTTTTCAGACTGCTGACTGAAAAATGTGTTAAAAGTTAAAAGTTGAAAAATGGAGTTTAAATGTTGGACATGCACAGATCATAGTATATGGTTGTAGCCTAGTAGGTATTATTGATAATAAGTTTGTAAGTGGGCCGATAAAGCACAAAAAACTCGGTTGGGAAAATTAGTCCAATCCGGCCCTGTGGATGAATAGTATACTACTACAGAAAACCATATTTATAAACACCTAATTTATTCCTTGGTCATTGTAAATGATAACTTAAAAGCAATAATGTGGTTTTCAAAACTCTTACAGACTACCTTTTTAATTCTTTGCTATTATTTATTATAATTTATACATTGAAAAATATAATTATTGAAGATAATATTTGATATAAACATTATTTTAATCAATAAAAACACAATATTTGCCCTTATATTTATATTACTATCATAGTGTTAATAGTAACAATTTCTTAATATAGAATCAATGCATTTAATATTCATAATATTATAACACGTCTTAAAATACTACTGATCCAATAGGTTCTGCTCTGATTGCACTCAAATCAATTGAGGAATCCATTGTTTCATCTACTTCTCCGATTATTGCACTGAAAAGTGTACAACTATTTATTAAAATAATATATATATTTTTAACCATAAATACTATTTACACAAATATTTATTACAAAAGTATGGACAGAGGCTGAGATCAACATAATTATATGATAACAAAATATAAACAATTATAATATTAAACATAGTTAACATAATTTGTGTAGATAACATTTTTTTACATAACATGCTTGTTGGAAACTTTCATTATTAGTAGAACATTATAAACCACATGGAAAGAATTGAAACACATGATACAGAAAATTATACATTCGGCTTAATGGTTTAATAAAGTTATCAGCCTTAATTTTTAAGATATGAATAATTATTCAATACTGCAAATATTAGGGACAGACAATACATGCATACGAGGGAGACTTTACACATGATATAATTTAATTAATTATTGTAAATTTAAATAAATTCACTTTAGAGCTGATAACAATACTTTTTTTTAACAAGCTCCATATCAATAATTTTTGTTTTGTAAAACTTGAATTAAGGAAATCTAGAGCAAGTATTAAGAATAAACGCGAAAAATTATTATGGTGCGTGTTAAATGAAATGTGATTTGATCAATGATGTTTTGAAAAATATTGTTTTAAAAATATCTGTCTTATGTTTTAAACAAAACATATTAATAAATAAAAATATTGAATAAACAACATCTTAAATGGTTATAAACCTTACATAATTAAGAGATAATTGAATAAAAAAATTGTTTGTTGATAGAAGAATAGTGAAACCAAAACCAATAAATGCATACATTTTAGAGTTTTCTGAAATAGGCGTGCAGCAGTCATATGCTTGCTGTGGCTGTGGCATAGCTTTTTTGAGGTATACTTTAAGTACTCAAGGATATATTTAGTTCAATAAAAAATATGAAAAAAATACTTCAAAGTTACAAATATTTGATGAAGAATTAAAAGGCCTTAGGTTTAGTGGCGCCAAACAAAGAGGAATAACATTAATGCCAATCAACTCCTATGGAGTGGTTAAAATAAAAATTTTTCACTATTTTTAGACAATAGTATTCAAGATTTATGATTTAGATTCAGTGATAAATTTTCTCAAGTTACTCCACTTAAGGAGCTCATTCCAATTCGTAAAGATTCATACAGCACTGTCAACACTAAAACTAGACTTTAGCAAGAGTAGGAGTTCAATAAACCAAAATATTTCTGTAAACTAAAATCAATTGGGGGACGGGGGAAATATTAAATAAATAATTCTATGCTTCAATTAATACTTACACATTGTCACCACGGATGAGATGTAAACCTAATATAATTTGTTCAACACCTTGATTCGGGCTGTACACACGCTCATGGCTGTCATCTAAAATTATATTTATAGTTTGATCAAATCCTTTAAGAGTTCCCTGAATATATATATATATATAAAAAAAATGTTAGTAAGTTTTCTCAAACAAATTACCTATGTAATATTTATTAAGCAACAGTATATTTACCACAAAGTTTCTGCCATCTGACGTTATAATAGAAACAGTATCTAACAATATAAAATTAAGGAAAATAGTACTCAAACTAGTTCATTCTAAACTGATTATGAACCAATAATAATATTTTGCTGTTCTGTAGAGTTACTATGTTTATAATGATACCTAACCATATGCAGTTAAAAAATTATTTTTAAAACTAAAATTTCCAAGGGGGTTTTTGTTTTGTAACCAACAATGTAACACTAATTATATTCAAAGGATACGGTTCACATAGCTCTCCAGTCCTGAACTCATTGTAATACTCGGAAGTATAGAAAAGTATGATCAATCTTGAAGCTGAAAATAAAATGTTATTTAACATTATAACGTAACAACTGTACGCATACAAATAAATTAATATAAACTATATAAGTACTTGCAGTATTTTACAAAAATATAATAATATAACGAATGTAAAAATACAAATAAATTGAGAATGAATATTGCAAACAACTATTGTATAGATATTTCACTTACAAGAGGTCAAAATACCGGCTAAGATACTAGAACTTATAATCAAAAAAATTGTGTAATTAAGTTAACAAAAGCATAACCGCTAATAACTATTTATGACAACTTGAAACAGGTTAAAGAATAATACAAAATATTATTAAACAATAAAGATCTCTAGCACAACATACACAAAATCAAATTGCGGTTTACTCATATTTTGGCGTTAGAAATGTTAGAATGATAAGAATGGACATTATCATTTTATAACTATTGTCACCTTAAATTATTTACCGTTGTAACCAACTACCAAGTTACACCCTAATACCACGTTACCACAGATTATTTGAAATTACAGTGTCCATATTGTTTTATGGTATAATTTAATAATAATTAAAATCTATTTTAGTATTTTGTCGTATGTCATGGACACAAACTTCATGATTACTAAAATGTTAATTTTCATTGTTGCAAACAAATTTTTTGTTTAAAAAATTTTAAACATTAAAAGGGCGCTACACGCATATTATTATTTATTTGTCATACAAGTGCGTAACATGACAAATTTAGGTTCAGCAGATCACTATTAACTTCGTTAGTCTAATAATTAGACTAATTAAAGTAATTAACATTGACCTATTATGAACATTTTGATGGTAAGAACATTATCAATAACTTAGGGCCCGTATTACAATAGTTGAACTCATGTTAAACCACCGAATTCGGCCGGTAAAATCAGTGGTTCAAATGTAACTGAGGTTTAAACTATGATTGTAAAACATGCCCTTAGTTTTTAAGTGAGTTATGAGCACTTGAAAAAAAAAAATAGCTCTTTCCTACGAAAAAGTACCTGATCCCTGTTATAGATGATTCAGTCATAATATATAGTCGGAACTACCACTCGAATTTTAAATTTTATGTTAGATCATTAAAATCTACCCATGATCAGATCTAATTATATAAACCAATCTACCGCAAACTGCAAAGATTGCACATCATAGATATCGTTAACTTTATAGGTCACTTAACAAATGTGTAGTACCTATCTTTATTGGCAGTTGCAGTGACTCCTTACATTGTTACAAAATATTTTAGATGATKTGTATTTTATTTTGTATAATATGCATGACTTTTAATTGAAAAAATGATTTGATTTTAAACTTTAGAGGTGGTTTCTGGTAGCAAATTGGTTCTAAATGAAATTTTCGAAAGGTAAATATTGAAAATTCCCTATATTTTTCAAAATAGTCTGGAAAAACAAGAAAAAATTAAGAATAATCTGGAGTTTTTTTTAGGCGTAACTTAACAACAAATGAGTAATGACTGTGTAGTCATGTAGATAGTTAAAATGTTTATACTATAATTTGATGTGCATTATAAAATGTTTAAAACATGTTTCATACAGACATTTAAAAATATTTTATGTTTTTAATTGCAAATAATGCATTTATTTTGGATAATATTTGTATATCAGAGAGTAGGTATATCTCTGCATACTAAAGCTTAGAAATAGAATATTGGAAAACAAAAACCATAATATATGTTAGTGCTGTTCAGCACTAAAATTAAGTGTACATTGGTGGTTCAAGCTTCATTTAAATGGACTAAACTTCAACAAATCAATAACCTTTAAAAGTAAACCTACAACTGCAATTTTTTTTAGAAAAAGAGATCAACAACAAAATTTTATTTTTATAAAATATGCTATAAACTATAAAGTATATAAAGATACTAATGTACTATTATATAATTTAATCAAATAAATMATTTTTAATTTTTAACAAACAATATTTAAATGAAACACTTAATTAGATACATTGATTCTTAAGCTATACAGGTAATCCAGATGCTTTGTCACTCAACAGTTTCTGTTTGAAAATATAACAAGAACAATAATATTATTAAATATTATGTGAAAATGGACTATCTTAGTTTCTTGAAAATACATACTTTTATTATAGAAGTAGATTGACAAAATGTAAGTCCAACATTACGTATTAACGTTGTAATAGCAGGCGGTACTAAATTGTTTTCGCTACCATAAATTTTTTGAATGCCATCAACACCTAACATAATAGGTACGTTACGTCGCTGTGCTGCAGTTTGATAATTTAAAAGTGCATTCAAATCTCCTATGAGTAAAACAATACAAATTTTAAAATCAGTATTTTTAGATAGTTCTGATTATATACTACTAAGTATCATTAAGGTATTACAAACCAATATCAGCGCCTGTTAATACTGATTTGTTAAGTTGATCACTTAATTCAGAAACATCACTAAAACCCAAGTTAACACCTTGGCCAGCCAAGGGATGTATTCTGTGTGCAGCATCTCTAAGGTAAATAGTGTGTAAGTAAATTTAAAATTATTTTTTTAAAACTTAATTATTTACCCAATTAAAGCAACACGCTGACCAACATATTGACATGCATGTCCAAAGCCTAATGGGAATGATGCTCTACTATCTTTTATTACACCAACGACAATTGGTGGAATAGATTTTATTTTTTTGTTTTGATTATCCTCATCTGATTGGCAGAATTTATTGAGTACCTTGGACATTATATGAGCTACATCATCTGCTAATAGTAAGCTACTATTATTTGATTCTTTTTCTTCCTAATCCATATATAAAAGTTTATAAAACAATTGATAGTAATACAATTAAGTATTTAACTATGTTAAAATGTACCGATAAACCATCATTTAAAGCATCAATAAATTGACTATCGCTCAATTCTAGTAAGCGATTTGCTTCTTCATAACTTGTTGTCCATACTAGCGAACACGTTTTATCATCCAACTATGTGTTGATAGAACAAATTAAAGTATTAAAACATTTAGAATATTCTTGAAAGTTATATTATTGATTATAAATATCAGGATTTATTATAGTGAATGGTCATAAATTGTAAATTTGTAATAATCTTAATTGGTTACTCACAGGTAATAGAGCCATTGGACCTAACTGAGCAAATTTTTGCCAAGCAACGTGTCCTTTATGAATATCGCCCTGAAATACACAATTTATTTAATAATAATGACAGAGAGTAACTTAAAATAGTTCAATATTCAGAACAATTTTACTTCATCAGACTGTATATGTAAAGTTGCGACAACTGCACGTTGACCGTATTCCCAACCAACATAGTGCTGACCACTTATGGCAGAACGTACTTTAGAACCATATCCATCTGAGCCAATCTAGAAATGTGAACATTATTTTTTATTTGCATTACATATTTTTAAGTTGAATTCAAAGTATATTTCACCCACTAAGAGACTAGTTTCAAAAGAAGTCTCTCCGTTACCCACTTTAACAGTGGCCAAATCTCTATGGGATTTTAACAAATTACATTCATTAACCCGCGAATCATAATTTATAGTAATATTTTGCTCTTCATTAATTTGTTTGTACAGTGCTCCAAGAATAGTGTTGTTTTCAACAATATATGCTAAATCATTATCATTACTGAATGTTAATACGTTATTGACACCACTACTCCTACCAGCACCAGAATTCCAAATCTAAAATTTTAATTAAATAGTATAGACAATAGCCTGTTTCTTTTGTTTTTTTAAACACTCACTTGCATTTCTTTGACTGCATTGCATAGTCCTAAATCTTCAATTATTCGCCATGCTCCAATCGATTGTAAAAGTTGTACACTCGACTTGCTCACAGCAGAGACTCTATTACTGTAATGTTTTTCAAGGGTGTCTTTCTTTGTGCACAAATCATATTGTTTACGATTTGGACCTCCTTCTAATAGAAGGATAGACATGCCACGAAATGCGGCTTCTTTAGCTAATATATTATAATATAAATTAAATATTGATAAATATTTTTTTTTTTTTAATAATTTGAGGAATAATTACATAATTTGCAGGCCATAGCACAGCCAACCATGCCTCCACCAGCTATAATGATATCGTAGTACTTTTTACTCGAAGAATAATTTACGACGTTACCAAGGGACAAATACAATCGGTTGGCAGATGAGTTTAATGACATCATGTTTGTCCTCAGATGTATACGTGGAGAAGATATAAAATTTATTCTTTGGAACATTTTTTCAACTGCTGCATAAATATATGTTTTAAATTAATAGTCATTACTCATTTAAAATAAAACTATACAGTTGGTAGTGTTATCACATAACACACAGAAAGTCATATAAACAAATTAGTCATGGGTAAATTATTTAAAAAACTAAAATAAATATAATATAGCAACAATATAATTATATATAGTTAATATTATGTTGATATAATTTAATGCATCAAATCAAATGAAAAAGATGTCGAAACTAAATTAATGTTGACTAATGCAATGCTACTATGCTAGTACACGACGTCTTGTCGACTTGATTGTAATTCAATTTAAAAGCATTTAAATTTTAAATATCTAAAAAATATTAAATTTTAATGGTATACTGAAAAATTAGTGATTAGAAATTAGAATACCCGAGTAAACAGAGTAGATTGAAGAATCCCTCTTGAAATAACCAGCATCTCATCTAGAGAAGTAGAGACTGGCCACTGGCGAGAAAGCAGACAGCTCTTCTTATCAGTATTACACTATCACAATTCTCATCACCTTATCAGAAAACTATAATACTTCTGTGATAATAGGTATGTGAGCTCATACTGCTCATAGATTATTATGCATTTTTTTTTAATATTTATTAATTGTAAACATTATATGCCAATTAATTTATTAAATAATATTTTACAATACATTTTCATTGTCAATTTGTCATCACTACTGAATTGAAATTTGGTTTTTGATTCGTGTTTACTATTTATTAATATTTTTACTATTTACGCCAAAGTCCGGTGTATCGTTGAATGTTTAAACTATGACCGACAAAAAGTAATTTAAAAGTTATCAATATAATTCATTGAAATATATAATATAAATTCAGTTTTTTCCCTATATTCTCGAGGTAGTTTTGTGAGTTTGTGACATATGAATCATTGATGACGAAACTTCAAATGTGTTATTGATCTATTTAAAAATACATCATAATACCTACATTCAGCGTATCAAAAAAATTATCTGCCGCCCAACATCTCAGGTTGGTATAATTTTACGTTAGATATAATTAAATATTTATTTTCTTGATAATTGAATGGGCTTATTTGATAATGGCTGAGGCTGAAATATTAACCCTTAGTTGTATATCACGGTCAAATCATGTTGACTTATACAACAACATCAATGACCTACCTGTTTTTTTTTTTCAGAATTGATTTTCAAATTTTGTAACCATATATTTCATGAGTTTAAATAAACCAGAAAAGATGCCTTCGTTGGACGCAAATGTTGTGAAAATAGCTGTTGAAATGGAATCTGAAAATCCACAACTTAAAGAATTTAATCAAAAGATACCCTTAACCAACATAATCCAAGACTTGTGTAATGGTTGGGACTTGACTGATCCAGATCAATATGCGTTGAAATTTTCCGAGAAAACAAACCAAAATTATGTCACAGAAAAAAATAGGAATGAAATTAAAAACGGTTCTGTATTGAGACTTGCATTTTCTCCTTCAAAGATTGCATATGACATACTGCAGACACTTCATTCTGAAGGTTCTGATGACAAAAATGAAAGAACTTCTGCCCTGCAAAAGTTAGCAGAATGCAGTACTGATATAACATTTGCTCTTGAATTCATTAATAAACAAGGACTGGCTCTGATTATTAGCTTAATTGAAAGAGGTATAACATAGTTAATAATTATTATGCTTGCTATTAAGTACTTAAATATTTGAATATCGTTTTGTTTCAGGTAAATGTCAAGGAGCTATGTTAGCTAATGCTCTAGCTTCATTTGTTGAGCTAATGGACCATGGAATTGTATCTTGGGATATTTTAGAAACTCCATTTATTAATATGGTTGCCAGCTATGTTAATAATCAAACATCTAGGCCACAGGAAGCAAAAGTTGTTCAATCTTCACTATCTATATTAGAAAGTATTGTTCTAAATAGTTCTGCCAAGTATGGACAAGTAGAAAAAGAAGTAGGATTTCCTAACCTTGTACTTCGTCTTGAAAACCAAAACCCCATCATTCAACAAAATGCACTTTCTTTGATAAATGCTTTATTTTTGAAAGCCGATCCAGCTAAAAGAAAAATTATTGCTAGTACCTTATGTACTAAACAAGTCCGTAATGTTATACTACAAAATATCATACAAACATCATCTGGTGATGTTGGATCTGAAATGGCTCACCAACTTTATGTTATGCAAACATTATGTTTTGGACTGCTTGAAGAAAGAATGAATACCAAAATGGACCCACAAGATCAAGATGCTCACGAAAAAATTAAGGTAAATCCTTATACTCATTACTTTTTACTTTTACTACTCAGTACTCAGTAGTACTCATTACTCGTTAATTTTATTAAGTTTACTGACTACATTTAAATTTTTATTTATTTTAAATTTAGGAGTTGCGTAAGATTGCATTTGAATTGGATACAATTAGTGGTGGAGATGCTAGTCGACGACAACTTAGTCCATTTACTAAAGATTATAAAAAACTGGGTTTTAAATACGACATTAACCCTGCATTGGATTTTACAGAAACTCCACCCGGAATGTTAGCTTTAGATTGTATGGTTTACTTTGCTCGTAACCACGTTGATGCTTATACAAAAGTAAAAGTTCTAAACTATTTAAATCACAAAAAATTAATCTATTGACAGATGATTTTATATTAATTTTAGGTTGTTCTTGAAAATTCATGTAGAGCAGATGAACATGAATGTCCCTTTGGCCGATCATCTGTAGAATTAGTACGCTTACTTTGTAACATACTTAGGATTGGTGAACTTCCCAGTGAACAAACTACTACGTATCATCAAATATTTTTTAGCCATGATCATCCTTTTCATGAATTATATTGTGTCTGTATTGTATTGCTAAATAAAACATGGAAGGAAATGAGAGCAACAACGGAAGATTTTGTTAAAGTAAAATTAAAAAAAACTGTTAAAATATATTATTTATTTTTATAGTTTTGAGCTTTGATTTTTTTCTAGGTATTAAGTGTTGTACGGGAACAAATCACTAGGGCTTTAGGTTCACAACCAGCCAATTTGGAGAAACTTCGACAAAAATTATCTACTCTTACTTATTCTGAAATAACTAATTTATGGCAACAAGAACGTACTTCTAGAGAACAATGGGAGAGCCATGCTCGACCTATAGTTCAACTTAAAGAATTGGTTACACCTGAGATTGTGCAACTTATTAAAAAACAACGACTCAACTACATGGTTGATGGGACTCGATTTACTAAATATTCACAACGCGGACAGGTTAAAAAATCATTAAATGTTCATAAATCCTAGAATAAAATGTAAATTATAAACTCATAAACTTATTTTTATTTTTTAGAGAGTTAAAGATAAGTTTTGGTTTGTAAGATTATCACAAAACCATAAAGTTTTACATTATGGCGATTGTGATGATAAAAGTGTTCCTACAATTGAAGAACTTCCAAACAAGTTGGGAGTGGTTGATATCAAAGCATTGCTTACTGGTAAAGATTGTCCTCATATGAAAGATGCCAAGTAAATTTATAAACATTACATCTAATTGAAATTTGAATAATTAATACCAGTTGAATTAATAATTGAATGTTAACAGAGGCCGTAAATCCACACATCAATTAGCTTTTTCATTAACTTTAGATTCTGTGGAAATGACACCTCTTTATTTTGTCGCTCCAGATGAAATGGTTTATGATTATTGGGTTGACGGAATAAATGCATTACTAGGTAAATATAATTATTTTTGTATATATATTTGAGTTTAGAACAAACACTTCGATCTCTTTATGTAACCTAAAATAATATAATTATTTTGAGTAGATGTATATATATTTGAAGTGTTTACCTTTTTACATCGTTTTGTATTAAAGTTATTAAATTGTACCAAAGTTATCAATTAGAAATACTTCAATTATTTTAAAAATGTATTATCTTGTACAATATATATTTTCAGTTGTAACACATTGTGTACAAGATTTTCATTTAAAAAGTGATCGTTTTACACTATTAAAATAATAAAATGTAAGAAAAGTATTTTATATGCTCTGGAGATAATATATATTTATACAGAATAAGTATTGTGGATTGAAGAAAATTTTGTTTTACAAAACTTAGTATATAAATTGTACTTCTTATTATTTAGGAAATAAGATGACAAGTAAAGAAGCTGAGAATGATTTGGAAACATTATTATCAATGGAGATAAAGCTTAGACTTCTAGATGCTGAAGGAGTTGGTGTAGATATTCCTCAAGATCCACCTCCTGTACCTGCTGATCCACCAAACTATGAATTCTGTTACGATTTTAAATGAAGTTCTCAAAAAAATGTTCTATGACCAAATTATTTATTCATAATATTATATACTGTCTCAACTAGTAGGATTATAAGGGTTCTAGTGAAGTATACTTTTTTTTGTATCAGTGGTATGAACTATATATGAGCAATATTTCTCTCCATTATACGCTGTTTAAAAGAGAATTTATCAATTCTACACACTTTTTTATTTTCCGTTGATCACTACATATACTTTTATGTAGGAGACGCGTACCGCCAAACAGGAACCACCAGATGTCTTCTCTTTTAGAACAGAGTATAGTTAGATATCCTAATTAAGTATAAATTATAAAAATTATCTATTTATTTAAATAAGAGTTTAAATCTTAGAAAAACTATTTAAACGTAAAATCATTGTGTATTATATTCAATAGCATAGAACTTTAATCCATAAGGAAATAATGTATTTTTATATTATATTATATATATTTTTTTTTGTATACCATATGATAGCTTATTAGTATTTATTTTTTCTATTTCTCACATATCTATAATACCTTATGCTAATAAGAATATCTTTTAAATAAATTCAATCTAGTCTATACAAATGAAAATTTTTATTTAATATCCATATAAAAATAATTAATTTATTATTATTATTGTTTTATTTTGTAATTAAATGTATTAATTTTGGTGATAAGTGATTACTGATTCTATGATAATGTAATACAGGATTGAGAATACTCATTTATGCCTAAAATTCTTGCTGAAAAATGTGAAAATATTATAATTAATGAAATCATCCCATGGAAATTATTATTTTCATATTCAACAAACATTGTTATTGCCAATTGGTTTTGCAAAAATTGATAACTTTTATCAATTTGTTCCAAGGGCCCCCTGTCCAACATGGTCAAATTGCTCTGAACGAATCATTAGTAATTGTAATTTGTAAGTTCATTCCCTGAATATTTAACTTAATTTATCCAAATTGCATAATACAGACAGGTTGTATATTAAAGAAATGAGATTGCATAGGTTAGGTTAATATATTCAAAGTACCTAATTTATTATTTTTGAATGCTTAAAAATAACTACCTTTTTTAATACCTGTGAGTTTTTAGTAATAAGTTGGTGCATTTCTAGAATAATCATGGTTACGGTTTTTTTTATGAATTCATAACCCTTAAAATGTAGACAGTAAATCG